AAGTAGATAAATAGGGACCGCTTACTGGCGGGAAGGTAAACGGCGTTCCATGTGCTGCGCTGGCTCGCCAGATGCAGCTTTGTCACGCTGGCCACGTGACCCGGAAGTGTCTGCGGACAGCGCTGGCCCCCGGCCTCTTAAGTGAGATGGGCGCACAACCCCAGAGTCTGTCAAGACTGGCCCGTACGGGCAGGGGTACCTTTACCTTTACCTTAAACCAAGGTATACAGGCTAACATGCCCCCTGCCATTTGAACCCAGTCTTCTAGCCACAGGTTTCCCCACCCCCGCCCAATCAAAAGTCTTTCCCTCCGAAAGGATATTGTCAAGGTTGGTGGAAAGTCAAGTGGCAAAGCGAAACTGTTGACTACAACTTCTTACTCCCAAAGGCAAAATACACGGGAAAATCTTTAATATAGGAAAAGACATAAATCCCAAATTATATATAAAAATAAAACACACACACATTTTAAAAAAATCAGTAATGCTGAAGAAGGGAAATTGCAATGTTACAGTGAGATGCATAGTAGCTGAAGTCCAAAGAGGCCATTTATTGGATCTGTTATAAGGCACTCCTTTGTTAACAACAAAAGAATAGCTGCACTGGATCAGGAATAAGATCCATCTAGTCTAAAACTCCATTTCCATTGTGGCCAGCCAGATGTAACAGGAAGGGCAGTAGAGCATCTTCCTTGCATGCAAGAAGTCCCAAGAAGTCAGTGTGGACAATACTGAGCTAGATAGTGGTCTGACTCTGTGTAAAGGCAGCTTCTTAATGTTTCCAGGCCACTCGGCAGCTCATGAGGAGGATGTGAAGGCAACAGTCCTCCAATGGTGTCTGTTGGCATTGGATCACAGATTTTTGAGGTTCTATACAGGAATCTTGTTCTTCTCTCATATTATTTGCTGTTCCTGTGCTCAGAAAGGACAAAACCAAGACTTTGAAGGACCAAAGCCCTCAATTTCATGCAGAGCTTCTGATCTCATAAATCAGATGTACATGGAGCAAAGGCACAGAGATCCCAAGAAATCCAGTTAGGCATACACTGAAAGGCCTTGGACCAATCGCTCCTTAATGTTTCCGGCCTTGACTGGTTGCTCCTCTGCAGGTGCTTGACTGACTTCTTTGTGGGGTTTTTGTTTGAAAACAAGGAGCCACAAATGGAAGAAAGGGCAGGTGCAGGCAAATGAGGGTTGGACAAGTATGGATGAATGCCGTCCACCCAGGAGCAAAAGAGACAACTCGGCTATGAAGCTCACTGGGTGACCTTTCAGCCCTAATCTACCTCACAGGGTTGTTGTGAAGATGAAATCAGGGAGGACCACTATAATCATGGAGGAAAGATGGGATATAATTGAAATAAACACCAGTTCAAAACGCCTTGTAATTATATAAACAACTACCTGACATTCAGAAGACATCTTAAGGCAGCCCTGTTCAGGGAAGCTTTTAATGTGTGACATCTTAGTGTATTTTTGGTCTTTGTGGAAGCCGCCCAGAGCGGCTGGGGAAACCCAGCCAGATGGGCGGGGTACAAATAAATTATTATTATTATTATTATTATTATTATTATTATTATTATTATTATTATTATTATTATTATTATTGCAAATACCTTAAGGGTTCTTTTTTTAAAAAAGGAGGGGTGAGGTTGATGCTCTCCCCTAGAAGAATAAATAATATTGAGAGCAGGCCAAAAATAAAAATAAAACCACATTATAAACCCATTATTTCCCTAATCTGACTGAATCAGACTTTTGCAGGGACCCTCATAGGCGATGGATGGAGGATCCAAGCGTGCTCAACCGACACACCGCCGTCTGACTTTTATGCTGCTAAAAATATTTGCAACTGCTAAGCACATTGAGTGTGTATATTGTAGTATGTAGTTACGGAAGCTTCGAGCGGCAACTGGCCGGTTAGCTCAGTTGGTTAGAGCGTGGTGCTAATAACGCCAAGGTCGCGGGTTCGATCCCCGTACGGGCCAGCTGTGATTTACCCTTTTTTTAAAATAAAAAAAATGCTACCTTTTGAACTTTCTCGTCATTTCACAGTAGGAAGTTGAACCCTCTGATGCAGTTCCAAAGGTCCTAGTAAGCACTAAAGTGGGGGGTGAAGGCATCGGCGCGTTGGGGTTCATCGTCCTAAAATCTTCCAGAATACTGTACTGCAGACAGGTTGTTGCTCTTTTCTATTGCATGTTCTGTTTCTTCCACGTCGCTTTGAGTTAGATCATAAAATTCTGGCCAAACAACAGTGTCGCTCGTGCATTATACCACCTCCTTTAATTGCTGTGGAACGGGAAAAGCAGAAGGAAGTCGTTGTTTATAATTTCCACACGTACTTCTCAATCTTCCATTCCCTTTGACTTTTTCAATCAATTTCAATTAAAAAAAAACGCCGCTTTGGTTCCACTGGGGCTCGAACCCAGGACCTTCTGCGTGTAAAGCAGACGTGATAACCACTACACTATGGAACCCACGACAGGAAGAAAGGTGGTATTTTCCTACTTATGAGAAATGTCACCGTTTTTAAAAGGGATGATTGCAAAGTTGTAGCGGCTGACTTAGTAAACAGGCTTCCCAATTGATATCCAATGCTGTACATTGCAAAGAAACGACTCACAACCTTAGAATAATCATTCGGCTGTTTTGAGCAAAAGGAAGCATCCCGAGAGCTCCTACCGGAAGAGACGAGGTGGCCGAGTGGTTAAGGCGATGGACTGCTAATCCATTGTGCTCTGCACGCGTGGGTTCGAATCCCACCTTCGTCGATGCTGGTTTTTCCTTTTTTGCTATTTCATTCCCACAGGCAAAACCATTCTGAGCTCCCGCCCCAACTTTCTTTAGCAAACTAACATAAAGGTTAGAGATGCTTTCCCGTGTGCTGATATGACTTTCCCCTCCCATAAATTTCGTTATTTGGGCAGTGATGTCTACAAAATAGTGTTTATTTGCAGCCCAATACCAGAATTGGAGAACACACAAATGCACGGAGGCGGAGAATCTGGAAGCATGCTCTCTGCCTGAGATTTGTTACTGATTTGTTACAGTTCTCTGTATGTGGCTCAGAGAACTTCTCACCTCAACTGCTGAGCGCAGTTGTGACTTCTGTTGATCATGCATGAGCAAGCATCACGCAAATGCAGTTTTCAAACTCTTGCTTTGCCTTGCAAGTATATTATCCTTATTATTATTATTAATCCCTCGATTCCAGGGGAGCCCGGATCCTAGCAAGTTAAAAAGATACAATCACGTGGAGATGGTGGGATTTAATAAAAGCAGCAACCATCACAATAGCAATAGATCGACATCTTCAATGGTGAATGTAAATGGCAAGGGCAAAGATGGGATTTTTACACAGGCAGAGCCAGCTAGACAGAAACTTCTCTTTAATGGAGAAACGGTAGAGAAATGACGTCCCGCAGCGCCTGTAGGTTACAGAAATCTAATAAACTGAGTGCATAAGCCTTTCAAGGCAATGCGATTGATAATTGACGTGCAACTGGGTGTTTGGCACTTGCAAAAGTAGAAGCTCCTCAGAATATTAATGAGGGAGAAGTCAGCGATTAAATCAAAAGCATTTCTTTTAAACTGAAAGTTGGAGAAACCCTGCCGCCGCGCACACACACAAACGTCATGAGTTTGTAAGGCTGTCTAAATAATGCTTCCCTCGCAAGCAGAGTGGCGCAGCGGAAGCGTGCTGGGCCCATAACCCAGAGGTCGATGGATCGAAACCATCCTCTGCTAAAAGTATTTTTTACTTAAGAAAAAATTGGATGACTTTAAGTTGGTGCAATTCACAGGCTTGTCTTCAAGCTTCAAAATCGTGTGTGGATTTATGAGTCATCGTCAAAGGCTATAATTTGCTAAACTCCCGTTTACCCTGTAGACCATCAATGCACTTAAAACGACCTTTTTTCTCTTTCAGCCCTGCTTCGATTTTATTTCACACCGAAATGTCTGTGCTATTCTTATCAGCTCCGGAAAGTTGTGGCAGCCTAACACTCTCCCGCTTCTTAGAAAGACTATCCTTAGCCCCCTCCTCACGGGTTTGTGGGTGATAATGAATGATGCTCTCCTCTCTTCTATGAAGACGAAAAAGTCCTCTGCACATGACCAATGAACTTTCCCCATGTTTATTTACATGCATTGCAGCAGGTTCCTGCTTCTTCAGCGATAACCCATCCCAAGGCATTTTAAACTATACAGCGCCACCGTGTGGCCGATAGATTTCCTTGATTGCGATAGATTTCCCCTCCCCACGCTGGGGACTAAATGGCTGCCGCCTCCTCCTCCGCAGATTAAGGTATCAACGGGGGAAAGGAAGACCGTTTTCACAGAGGGTGATTCTTGCTAACAAGTTGATTTATCAGCTGATCCTCACTGTTGTAACACATGACTCACTAACTATCTTAAACCAATGCATCATTATGTAATATACTTTCTTCAACAAAGAAACCCCCTTTCTTAAGTAGTCAGGATGGCCGAGCGGTCTAAGGCGCTGCGTTCAGGTCGCAGTCTCCTCTGGAGGCGTGGGTTCGAATCCCACTTCTGACAAGCTAGCTTTTATTGGTCAGATATATTACGGGCAATCAGAACTCACCAGGTTATTACGGCATTTCGCGGACGATATACTGTTTTTTCACCTGGCATTTCTCCCTGCGTTACATTGCCATGCAAAACTCCGGATCACTTCATGAGAGGAATGTGTGCTGCTCTCTTAAAGGGAAATAAATGTTGGCATTACAGCATAGTTTTTAAGCAGCCCATGAGCACTTATGATATGCCTGTGAAAAAGAGGCTGCATTGAGCTTCAAATCTACATTGGGGTGGGTGAGCCAGGAACTGCTTTAAAATTGCAACGTTTCCACCCTGAGCCAATGTTATTTATGTAACCGCTTATTTAGCTTCCTGCAATTAAGCTGCTTAGCATCTTTTCTTTAGTGTTGTGTGCAGAACAGAAAAATGGGAAAAAGTAGGGCGGTGGAATTTACTAGCTTAAGAGTTCCATGGAGGCAAGAGGTAGTTTAGCATCGTGCGAGCTCTTTCCAAGACCATGTGGTGGCTCTTAAAAGAGCCTTTGTGGTTGAAACAGAATTCGTGTTGTGGGGACGCAGGCGGGCGGACGCTTCTCAGGCCCTCTCTCCGCGGATGCGCCTGGCGAGCTGGATGTCCTTGGGCATGATGGTGACGCGCTTGGCGTGGATGGCGCACAGGTTGGTGTCCTCGAACAGGCCCACCAGGTAAGCCTCGCTCGCCTCCTGCAGAGCCATCACGGCCGAGCTCTGGAAGCGCAGGTCCGTCTTGAAGTCCTGCGCGATCTCGCGCACCAGGCGCTGGAAAGGCAGCTTGCGGATCAGCAGCTCCGTCGACTTCTGGTAGCGGCGGATCTCGCGCAGCGCCACGGTGCCCGGCCGGTAGCGATGAGGCTTCTTCACTCCGCCCGTGGCCGGCGCGCTCTTGCGGGCGGCTTTGGTCGCCAGCTGCTTGCGAGGCGCCTTCCCGCCAGTCGACTTGCGAGCCGTCTGCTTCGTGCGGGCCATCTTCCTCTTCACGCGGACAGAAGTTGCTTTGTCAGAAAGGAGAAAGAAATGAAGCAAAAGGGGACTTTGGACCGCCCTTTTATAGCCAGCGGCTGCGTCCTGATTGGCTGAATGAGGTCAAGGGACCGTTGCAGAATTTGAATTTCCCGGGCTAGACATTGATTGGATAGACTTTGCAGCACCGCCCTTCGTCCTTCCGCTCCTTCCCAAGGTTTTATTTCCTAGATGGAAATGCAGTGCTATAAGAAATATAGGGATTAAAGTGGTTTATTCTTTTTCTCCACTCCACCCACCCCGCTCTCGGAACACATCTTAAAAGTAGGGTTTTCAAAACATGCCCACCTCACCGCAGCACTTAGCCGTCTGTAGGACTCTGAATGTTAAACTACAGCGGTGGATTTCAGTAGAGTAAGCTTGATACGGGGCATTGCATAACGTACATCGAAGACTGATTGGATGCCTTAATAAATTGGTTAAGGCTGCTGCATTGCTTTGCACGCTTTCTTGGGAGTAAACTGCACTGGGCTGAGCGAGACTTCTCCATAGACTTTCATAGGATCGGGCTCCACGTCTTTATTGCAGCTCATCTGCAACCCTATACCCACTTTTCTGGGAACAAAGTCCACTGAAATAGGACACTTCCTTCTAAAAACTAATAATTCCTTTAGCCTTACTAAAGAAACTGAGTTGCCGGATAATCAAACCCCAGTTAACAACGGATAATTTGAAAACCGCGCCCTAACGTGTGATTGGCTACTCAAGGGCCCCCGTCCTCAAAATCCCGCGGGGTTTCTTTCATTTGAAATTGCCGCCAAAACCGCAGCGGTTTTATGCTTTCAAACATGGATTTCACAATTGTGTTCGTCTCGTAATTGTGCAATTCTATGCAGTTTCACAACATAAAAATCTCCCGAGTTTAATCAGGTTACTCACAGCGGAATGGGTTAGGTTTGCAACTACGCTCATGAAATTGGACCATCAATGAAAATATTCCTTCAAGGGAGAATTTAAGTGGCAAGTTCAGAAACATTTTATCCTTCTCACTTACAACAACCTTCTAGTAACTTTTAAGAGTGACATGTGATATATCAGAAGCCTATATAGTTGCAACTTTTTTTTCACTGCAACGAAGTAGCACAGATCACATTATTTATATTGTATCATGTGTATTGGCCTTGAAACATTTTTCTACTCCTGCTTAAGAAAAGGACACACGGTTTCAAATGGCAACACTAAAAAAACCTAAAGGTTTCATATGATCAAAGCTCTTTATGAAATTGTGTGTGGCTCTTAAAAGAGCCTTTGTGGAGGTTTTTTTCTGCTGTAGTTCAGATGAAAAGCGATCTATTTTCCTTTGGCCTTGTGGCTCTCGGTTTTCTTGGGCAACAGCACAGCCTGGATGTTGGGGAGGACGCCTCCTTGAGCAATGGTGACTTTGCCCAGCAGCTTGTTCAGCTCCTCGTCGTTGCGGATGGCGAGCTGCAAGTGGCGAGGGATGATCCTGGTCTTCTTGTTGTCCCGGGCAGCGTTGCCGGCCAACTCCAGGATCTCAGCAGTCAGGTACTCCAGCACAGCAGCCAAGTAGACGGGCGCCCCGGCCCCGACGCGCTCTGCGTAGTTCCCTTTGCGCAGAAGACGGTGCACACGACCCACGGGGAACTGGAGTCCGGCACGAGAAGAGCGAGTCTTGGCCTTGGCCCGAGCCTTGCCTCCTTGCTTGCCACGTCCAGACATGATGCTAGTTTCAAAAGAGTATAAAGCTCACGATTCCTAGTAGACAGAACACAAGCTGAGAAACAAGTGCGCTCCTCGGCCTTTTATTCAGTCCTGCGGATTGAAAGTGCGCATTCCCATTGGTTAGCTTTCGAGTTTCACCCTATCTGTCCAATTGGAAGGCCGATGCTGTTTGCTACCCAATAGGCAGACGACATTTATGCCATCCAATAGAAATCAAAGTTTTAGAATTCTACTATTTGCATGTAACAATCTAATCGTCCAATAGGCGTCGCTGGTTTCTGAGCCAATGAGAATTCGAGTGTTTCAATCCTGCGATTAGCATGGAAGCCGTATAAATACAGGACGCTCAGCAGCTGCCTTCATTTCTTCTCGAATTTCCGGTTGTTTCGCCTGTGATTGAGGGAGTACAGCATCATGCCTGAGCCAGCCAAATCCGCTCCCGCGGCCAAGAAGGGCTCCAAGAAGGCCGTCACCAAGACGCAGAAGAAAGGCGACAAGAAGCGCAAGAAGAGCCGCAAGGAGAGCTACTCCATCTACGTCTACAAGGTGCTCAAGCAGGTCCACCCGGACACGGGCATCTCGTCCAAGGCCATGAGCATCATGAACTCCTTCGTCAACGACATCTTCGAGCGCATCGCGGCCGAGGCTTCCCGCCTGGCGCACTACAACAAGCGCTCCACCATCACCTCCCGGGAGATCCAGACCGCCGTCCGACTCCTGCTGCCCGGAGAGCTCGCCAAGCACGCCGTCTCCGAGGGCACCAAGGCCGTCACCAAGTACACCAGCTCCAAGTGAATTTCGCCTCCTCACATACCCAAAGGCTCTTTTAAGAGCCACCCACTTTTTCATAAAAAGAGCTGTTGCGACTACGTAATTTTTAATTTTGTTCTTCATTTTATTTTTTTTTGCATTTCTAAACTGCAGGGTGATTTACAATATAGTAGGTTAACAAGCAGTGCTCCGCCCCAAGCTTTAAAGGCCATAGATTGCTTCATTAGTCAAAGGGCTGAAAAAACAGGTATGTTTTTTGCCTGCAGCCTAAACAAGATAAGTAACAAAGGTGGCGGGCGAGCCTGAGGCCTCATTGAACAAAGGTGGGAGTTACTACTATGGAAGTATTGAAACGTATCCTTAAAGAGTGTTGTGCCACAGTTCCTTAGCTAATATCTTAATAGGAGAGTTTTAAGAGTGAGAGTTGAGACTTTGTCCCTCTCATTTTAAAAAATAAGCGGATTTCTAAATTCCTCATAAGTTTATGGCTAGGCTATGCTGCAACTTCAACGAATTTAATGTTGCAGTTAATATACTACAGTCCCCCTCTTACTTGGCTATATTAATGGCAGATAAAAGTATCTACTGCACTTCCGCATCAGTGACAGTCTCTAAATCCCAGTTGTTGGGAGCAGCGTAACATAGCGTTTAAAATGCATTTTGTCTCTTTAACCATGGTTGCAGTAAGTTGCCAACCCTAAAAAGAAGCATTAGGGCCAGTTTATGTGACAACCCAGTAAATTAGAGACGTTTATGCTTATGACATAGTCATATCCGCTTTGGAAAATTCGTATCCTTCCTCTTTTTCATTTGATGAGGTTTCAACGTCACGCTTCCGTGTTACGGAAAAGCGCTGCAGTGATAAATTCGCATATGGATAGCTCTATTCTCCAGAGACGTTTACAAGGAGTACAGAGTTACAGCAACACGTGACAGTTGCAGATTAATTCCTTCTACTTTGGGTCTGCCCCAGATACATATTGCCCGCAAATTGAGTAGCCCTGGTCTTTTTTCACACAAAAACACGTTGCTGTGTGTGGTCTGCCATACTATCTTCATTAACAAGCTTGCTAGCTAGAGACCTTACTTGTGGGAGGGAGCACGATTATTATGTCCTTTGCACACCCTAACTGGAGTATTTTATTTTTCCGTGAAAGAACTCGAGGCAATTTCAGTTTCAGTGAATATTCCTGGTATCCCTGCTGAAAGGCGTCCAATTTCCTTGTTTCTTGTCTTTTGGCGCCGCCTTGTGATGTGATTTTTAAGAACAATGCGCAGGATGTAGAGCGTTTCCACATGGAAAGAAGGAGCAACATGCAGTTGGCCGGTTAGCTCAGTTGGTTAGAGCGTGGTGCTAATAACGCCAAGGTCGCGGGTTCGATCCCCGTACGGGCCACAACACTGTATTTTATGTTTGTGAAGCGTCGCAAGGCTAATATAACAGCAAACCTGTGAGCATATATATATATTTTCCAATGGAAAGTGAGGCCTTTCTGACCCAAACTTTAACCCAAAGCATTTGAGCATTCTGGAGAAAGTTACACATCATGCTAATGCTAAATGAGTTAATACCATTTATTGCTAAACCAGCAGGGGAAAATATTTTGCAGAGAAGCTACTAGTTTTGCTGTCCTCACAACAAGCTTAATACTAGGGCACTGAAAAGCCCAAACCAGATGTTTTAAAAGTCTTTCACCTCTTCCGATGAATGTTGAAGATGTTGGGGAGTACTGAAAACAGTACATCTTTTCATTTGTGGAACAGCTGCCCAAACTGCATCTCTGGGTGGGTGATTGATAGTAGCTTCCCTGAGACATAGGAGCCCGGAGTTTGTAAAAGAGCCTTTGCTACACAATTTCTACTTACTTGGCTGAGGCCTCTTAAGAGCTTGAGTGATAGACTGTCATAATGCTCAATACCATAGGCCAATGGCCCATCTAGTCCAGCACCCTCATTCTCACAGATGCCTGTGGGAAACCAGTGAGAGCAGATCATGAACGCAAGAGCCCTCTCCCCTCCCTTGGTTTCCAGCAATATTCAAAAGCATTGCTGCTTCCAGATGTGGAGGCTGAACATAGGCATCATGGCTAGTAGCCACTGATAGCTCTCCTCTCCATGAATTGTTTTAATCCTCTTTTAAAGACATCCAAGGAATTTGATACATAATAAAATTATAATAAATAAGATGGTGGCAGTCACTGCCTCTTGTGGGTTCCATAGTTTGATTTATGCATTGAGTGAAGAAGCACTTTCTTTTTCTGTCCTAAATCTTCCAACATTCAGTTCCATAGGATGTCCATAAGAATAAAAGAAAATTATTATAAATTCGTTTGGAGATGGCATTTAACACAAGTCAGATTAAGTCAAATAAACAAGGAATATTCAGTGTTATGTTGGAGGGGATGTCAGGAAACAGGGAATTATGTTCACATGTGGTGGGGATGTCAACATGTTAAAAAACAAAAAAAAAATAGCAAAGGGTGTTTAAGGAGATAACAGAAATCACTGGGTTAAACCTGACCAAAAGTTCAGAGGTAGCATTATTATCAATGGGGTGGAAGGTTCGCAGGCTATGAAGGACTAGCTCAAAATTTATTGACAGCTGCACAAATTATGATAGCTAGGAAGTGGAAGGGACAAGCAGAATATAAAATGTAAGAATGGTGTAAAGAGGTGTGGGATATAGTTATCAATGGTAAATTAACATGTGCCATTAAGGTAAGACGGGGAATATACAGGAGAAATGATTTTGAGGAGATATGGAGGGTGTTTGTAGAATTTGTACTGTTAAAACAGAAAGGGGTCAAACCATGGCAAGATGTGCTGAAATTTTGGGAGGTTGGATGGTGTCGGTGGTGGGGTTCACATTTTTATTCTTAATTATTTATGATTATTACTTTGTCAAAACAAAATAAAAAAACAAGTGCTGGTGTTATGAGAGAGGGAGAAAAACTCTTCTCTACTTCCACTTGCATAACTTTATAAACTTCACTTTTTACTTGTCTTTTCTATAAATTAAAAAGTACCAAACATTGCATCCTTTCTTCATAGGAGAGTCACAATGTGGTAGCCCTTTTCTGAATGTTTTCCAGCTCGACAATATCCTTTTGAGGTGGTGTGAAACTGTACACAGTACTCCACCATAGATTTGTATAGCAGCATTATGATACTGGCGGTTTTATTTCCAGTTCCTTTCTGAATGATTCCTAGCATGGAATTCACCTTTTTCTTCTTTTAAAAAATGATATTTATTAAAAGTTTAACAGTTACAGAAAAAAGAAAAAAAAGACAATAAAAAGTTACAATACTTCAAAAATAAAAAACACAATAAAAAACAGTACAACAAAACAATAAGAAAAACAAAAACATTTAAAAACACATCCAGTATTTCCATATCTTTGTCTTTCATTTACTTGTTTCATCGACCTCCTCACACCTCCCTTTTTTGTATTCTAATTCAATTAGCTATTTCAGCAAATCCTTTCCATCTTTCTCAGTTTTTGTTCTATAATTTATCTTAACACAATTTGACCTTAAATTTTACACTTTGACCCATTAACAATCCATTTTTACTTAGTTCTTTATAACCTTTCTGCTAAAACCATGTAACTTCATTCCAGCATCCTTCTAGCATTCATTAATTTTACAATGTTTCTGTAAATATACTTTGAATTTTTTCCAATCTTCTTCAACCGACTCTTCTCCCTGGTCTCGGATTCTGCCAGTCATTTCCGCCAATTCCATGTAGTCCATCACCTTCATCTGCCATTCTTCCCGGGTGGGTAGATCTTGTGTCTTCCAGGGAATTCACCTTTTTCATTGCCGCTGCCAACTGGGTCAATATGGTCACTAAGCCATCTACTATAGTTTTACCCAAAGGTCTTGCTCCTGGTCTATCACCTCCAGTTCAGACCCATGAATGTGTGCGTAAAATTAAGTTTTTGTTTTGCTCCAAACATACATGACTTTACTTTAACAACCCTGAACAATTTAGTGTCATCAGCAAACTTGGCCATCTTGATGGCTCAGTCCTAACTCTAAATCATCGATGAACAAGTTAAAAAGCTCAGGTCCCAACACTGATCCTTGGGCACATTGTACCACCTGGTCAATGGCCAGGAAAATTGGCAACATTATATATGTTTAGGTAGCTAGTACCACCCGTATACATACCACTTTTACAGCTGACACAGAGACAAGTCGCTGCTCCAAGGTCCTTACAATCTAAAATTTGACAAAGAGCACCTGAAAAAGAAAGATAACTGT